TCATTTTTCCAGTAGTATGTTGGGTTACTGTCTGGAAGAGCCTTTATCTATCCTGGCCAACAACTCGACTGAAGGTATCGCCTGTCTGGCTTTGTTGTTTGTTGAGTAACTTTTAGTTATATATAAGTATGCTCTTCCTACCTCTCCTCACAGCTGTATCTAACTTTCCATTTTATTCCCTAGAGATTACAGAAAACCATGCCTGTGTATTATCACAGTCTTCTCCCTCAAATAATTTTTAAAAAGCATAACTGCTTCAAATGTAATTACTTTAGGATTAGCAAACTGATTTGTGTTTGGGTGTGCACAGGTTTTGTTTCTTCTGCTTTAATTCAGTCTTGTTTAGGAATAATTTACACATAATGATATCTACCAATTTTGTCATACAATTTTGAGTTTTCAAAAATTTACAACTATGGGCTGGAGAGATGGCTCAGAGGTAAGAACACTAGCTGCTTTTGCAGAGGACCCTGGTTCGATTCCCTATATCCACATGGCAGTTAACAACAGTCTGTAATTCCAGTTCCAGGGGATCCGATGCCCTCTTCTGACCTCTGCAGGTGTTGCATGACATGGGTGCACTTTCATACATGCAGGCAATACACTCATACACATAAAATAAAAATAATTTTTAAATTACAGCTATAACCCCAATTATGATATAGAACATTTCCATCACCCCAAAAGTTCTTTTTTGTGCCTTTGAAGAAAATTATCTGCTCCAAATCCTAGTTATCACTAATAAGCTTTGTGTTAAGTTTTCATCATTGTGACAAATATCTCACAGAAAAAAATCAGGAAGGATTCATTCTGCTCTCGGGATTTAAGTAGTTTTAATCCATTACATTGGGGAAGGGCAATGTGTAGGAAGGCCACTCACATCATTACATCCAGGAAACAGAGTACCCAAGCCATAAGCTCTCTTCTTTCTCCCTTGTATTCTCTGAGTCCCCAGCCTGTAGGGATGGTGCTGCGTATGTTCAGGGTGGGTCTTCCTCCTCAGCTAATCCTCTCTGGAAACTTCTCATACACACACCCAGAGGTGTGCTTCACTAATTTTAGGTGCTTCTGAAATCAAGTTGGCAGTCAAGATTAGTCATCACAGGCTTTGTCATAGAGCAGAACTGTAATATCATCTTTTATGTCTAGCTTCTTTGACTTCGCATAATGCTTTTGAGATTTTTATCCATGCTGTTCTATTTATCAAAAGCCAATTAAATATATATGTATATATTATTATCATACATGGTTAAAACATAATCACAAAACTGTTTCTAGTTTCTGGTCTTTATAAATGAGGCTGCTTTGAACTATGCTTTGTGTATACAGCTTTTGAGTAAACGTCTGCTAATACAGCCCCTGGGTTAAACAGTGTGACCTGGAAGATGTTCCTCTGACCCTGTGATGACAAGCCATGGACCCACCTCCTTCCCATGCTATGCAAAAAAGCCACTCCCCTTCCCTCTTCCAGTCAATCAGTTGACTATAGCCACTTGCAGGGGAGGGGCTAAGGGTATAAAAGCTGGGAAAACCAGAGGCTGGTCTCTCACTATTTTGTAAGACTGTCTGGAACCACAGGATTTATGTCTGGGTGTGGATTTCCGGCATCAGCTGTGAATGGGGGAGGGGGTGCCCGCTTGTCTGTAAGTAAACCCGCACCCCAAGCTCAGTTAGCAAGTTCAATAAACTCGTTAAGATTCTTAAAACCAGGGTTTGGAGAATTTTTTCCTCAGGCTGTTGCAAGGACCTTGGGAGGAGGGGATTGGATGCCATGTGCACCTCCCAGCAGTGAATTTGACTTACAAACAGTAAGAGCATGCTGACTTTGTGGAAACTGTACTAAGAGACTTTGTAGAAACTCTGTACTAAAGGCACACTTGGTATTATAATCTTGCTGAAACAGCATTGTCAGTTTTTCCAATTTGAATTATTTGAACAGTAGCATAATCACATGATTGTGGTTTTCTTTAGTATTATGTCATTTATATACCTGATAAAAATGTGAATACAAATATATCTTGCCATTTAAAAAATCTCTTGGGTTGGAGAGATGGCTCAGCTGTTAAGAGCACTGGCTACTCTTGCAGAGGAATCGGATTCTGTCCCCACCACCCACGTGCTGGCTAACAACCATCTGTAACTCCAGTTCCAGGCATTCCTCTTCTTACTTTTGCAGGCATTGTACAACAGGGGTCCACTTACATACATGCAGGCAATACACTAATAGAAAATAAAAATACAATAAATTTTCTTAAATCTGTCTTTTGTTGTTGAGCTGAGAGAGTTCTTTATCACTAGATTTTTATTAGGTTTTCACAAGCCTTGGTCTTGCCTTTTCATTTTTTTAGTATCAACCACACATTCACAAATCTTTGATAGGAATGCCAGTTTTAGATTTATCTTTATCTTTGGTTATTTACTTATTTATAGACAGAGTCAAATGTAGCCCAGGTTGGTCTTAAGTTCATTATTAGTGGAGGATGATTTTGAACTTCTGATCCTCCTACCTTGGCCTTCCGAATGACAGAACTGCAGGCATATGTCACTATGCCTTGTTTGATGAGGTGCTGGGATCAAACCAAGGGCCTCCTACATTCTAGGCAAGCATGCTACTATCTGAACCACATCCCCAGCCTAGGTGTTCAGTTCTCATAGATTATGACTTTTTATAGTACTTTATTTCTAACTTAATTTTCACTATCTTCTTTCCTCTGTTTGAAACTAATTCTAATACTGTATATACCTCTATAAACTTCTTTAGATTATTTTTAGGAGATGAAATATAAGTACACTTTTTAATGCGAAGGGAAAAACTGGACTAGGAAGTTCAAAGACAACTGATGGAAGTACAGTAGAAAAAACTGTAAATTCTGCTGATTATTCTAATCCACATTCTGAGTTCCCTGTCTGAAAGTTAAAAAGCTTCTATTTTTCACTTTATATTTTTTAAATAAGATATTTACTTGTGGCCTATTGCAATATTCTGATATTACTGAACTTAAGAATATTATAAATTTGATGACAGTCTCTGGTGAACTAAGGAACTCACTGTATAGTTTTCAGTGGTATCTAAACCCTGGTATTCATGCCGTAATATAACCTTTTGCTCTTGAACATGAGCTGGACCTCTGGACTTTTTTCTAATAAACTGAATATAACAGAATAACAGGATGTCACTTATGAAATTATAATTCTAAAAGACCATAAGTTTTCTCTTGGGTGCTCTCTCATGCACAATGGATCACTTTAAGGGAAGTGTTATCAGTGAGCTAGACTTGTGGAGAAGTCTACATGAGACTTAGGAACAGCAAACAGCCATGTGAATGAACTTGAAAATGGATTCTCCTTTAGACAAGACTTGAGATAACCCCAGGCTTAACAGACATGTTTGTAGCTTCCTGAGGCCTGAGTCAGGACTATTCAGCTAAGCTACCTGATTACCAGAAAATGTGATATAATGGATATTTTAAGTTTCTATAAGTTGTTGCACCAATAGATAACCGATAAACATATGCATTACAAGAATAAGCTTCAGTGGCATTTTAAAAACCCTCAGTTGAAGGTGGGGTTTCTTTTTTAAAATATTTTATTTTTATTTTATGTGTATGTATTGCCTGCACGTATCTGAGTGCACCCGTGTCATGCAATGCCACGGAGGTCAGAAGAGGGCTTCGGATTCCCCCGGAACTGGAGTTAAGGATGGTTTGTAGCCACCATGTGGGTGCTGGGATTCGAACCCGGGTCCTCTGCAAGAGCAGTCAGTGCTCTTTACCACAAGCCATCTCTCCAGCCCCAAAGGTGGGGTTTCTTAAGACATATAGGTGATCTCAGAATAGAGCAGCTGAAACAGGCACAAGAAGCTCAGGAAACCAGTAGATATAAGTTCCGTGTATTAAAGTAACAATCAGAAAAAAACAAATTTAAGAGTTCACTAACCCTCAAAATCAAAGTCACTAAGAGAGAAGCTAGGAACGTCCTGCAATGGAGATATTTCCTTGTGTAGCAAGCACCAATGTGAGTAGAGCCTTTATTGAGGAATGGTCAGTGATTGCTCCAAGAAATGGTAGAGACCATTTGAGAAAGAGAATAAATTCAATAAACATTTGCCATGTAGCTTATGTGTCAAACTTTGACATTGGTAATAATCAATAAGCTATACCAATAGTTCCTGTACAGAATGACTTATAGTCTGCCAGAGAAGTGAGACTTTTACATATTTTAAACTTCAGATTAGAAAGCTTGGATTCTATATTGGTCTCCTACTGGTGTTAAATTACCCCTAATTGAGTGACTTAAAACAACACAAATTTAGTAGACGTCCAAAGTCCAATATGGGTCTCACTCAGGGAGCTGTCAACACTGCATTCTTTCTGGAATTATTTCCCTGTCTTTTCTCGCTCCTAAAGACCATGTTACTTGTCTTACGGTCCCTTTCAAAAAAGTAGTAGCATAGCATCGTCACATCTTTCTATAACTTTCTGCCTTCATTTTTTTCTACATTTAAAGGATCCTTGTGATTTAATTAGGTCAAGATTCTACAGGCTAATCTCTCCTTTAAGGTCAACTGGTTACATTAATTCTCTATCTGTAACCATAATTTCTCCTTGCCCATGTAATAATGTATTCATAGGTTCCAGGAATTAGGATATTAACATCTTTACAGGAAACATTTTTCTGCCTATCACAGATATGTTCCTAGAGTAATTTAAAGAAAAACCATCAATTTTTGCCAAGACTTCTTAAAACGGTTTCAGAAGATTGAAATTCTGTAAAACAGTTTATGAAGCTGGGCATGGTAGAGCATGCCTGTAATCCTAGCACTCAGGAGGCAGAGGCAGGCATATCTCTGTGTGTTTGAGGCCATCCTGGTCTACAAAGTGAGCTCCAGGCCAGCTGGGGCTACAGGGAGACCCTGTCTCAAAAAGACAAAAACAAAAAAACAAACAAAAAACATAGTTTGTGATTAACCTGCCATTGGTATATGCTGAATAATTAACAAAATTCTTCATTATTCAAAAACATTAGCATGAATTTGGACAAACCAAAAAAGAGATCCTAAAGCATCAGAACTAGAATAAATACCCACTCCAATTGTCTGCACTAAGTGGAAATTTGTTGCCATTTCATATTTTAATTCAAGGGGAGTGTTCTCTCTTCATGTCTCTAGTCTTATTAAAGGCACAGTCATTAATTATCCAAGTCATCCAGGTGCAAGCCTCAGGCACTATCTGGTTGCTAGCTGGCATTCTTGGAATTCTAGTTGGATCTGGCTTACTTCTGAAATGTCATTACATCTTGTGTTTTATCTCCTACTTGGATTCCAATAGTTATTTGAACACAGTAAGCTCTGAGAATCATGTCTAAAATTTTTTCTCCCTATATAATTTTACCTAATATTTGAAGATACTATTTATTTTCCTGCATCTAATGTAGCTGAATAGAAAGCTAATGATAATCTATTTCTCACTCTAAAAAAAAATCTATACTCACTTCAAGCTTTGTAATTTATTATATATTTTCAACGTAATGAAATTATATTACCATGGGTCCAAGTGTACATTAAAAAAATTATCCTGAGCTGGACATGGTGGCCCATGCCTTTAATTGCAATACTCAAGAGGCCAAAGGTAGGTGGATCTCTGTAAGATCCAGGCCAACCTGGTCTATCTGATACATCGAGAGTTCCAGGCCAGGTTATTAGGCTTTACCTGAAGTGCTTTTACCTGCTGAGTTTTCTCACTGACATTATGCTCTTTTTTGTTGTTGTTTGTTTGTTTTAATATTGTTTTCTTCACAGTTTTATTTTTTTAAAAATTTAAGCTCAGAATTTTAAGTTCTACCAACTCTGTTTCTTTTCTGGATGGCTGTTCTACCTCTGACACCTCTGATTACAGTTCACTCTCATCCACACACTTAACATTTTGAATGTTCTTTCCTTTTCAAGTTGCTGTCTGCTATATCATTACCCTTTACTAAAGAACATTAACATTTCTTGCTTGCAATGATTTCTCTGTTTATTTGAAATACTTTATTTCACCATTCTTAAAACATTTTTTGTTAAGATAAAC